AACTTTATTTCCTCCACTCCACTTCCAGAGCAAGGCTTTTCTTCCTCGCATCACAAGATGGAAGTAATAGGAGTGAAAGTTCCTGCTCTATCTTTCCCCCTCTCCTCTCCCTTGTTTTCTTTTCCATACGGGAAGAAGGATCACCAATACAATTGGACAGGAATGGTTGGGAGCAGTGGGTGGAGTTCATGCATCTCAAACATAGGAAATATGTTCTGTCTGTTTTACTGCCAACTTGGAGGATCTGTAAGTACAGCAGTGGACTCTTTTGTTTTGTATCCAAGTATCATAAATTCACCTGGATAGAGCTTATGATGTCTTTCATGGACAGAATTCTGAAAGCAACCATTCTTTTTGCATTTTACATTCTGATATGGCTTTATCCAATTTATGGAGAGTCTACAATCCTCCTTGCAAATTACTGGGTATTTGCATTGGAACCAAATTTTCAAATAAAATCTCACCATATCTGAGCAAAGGGAGGGAGTGGTTGGAGTGTTAGGACCTAAAATTTAGGGAATGAAATTGATGGTCTCCTTTTTGTCCTCAGATCTCACCTTCATTTTCTAATCATGACTTACCAGAGAGCCAAGCATATGACATTTATTAGGTCCTAACTATTCTCACTTTAATCCCTCTTTAATTCCTTGTGGGCATTCTCCACTGCTAGGAATGCAAAGGGGATAAACAGTGAGAAATCTGCATTTTCCATCTTTAACAGCACTCCTGAGCTTTCTCCTCTCAGGGAGGCACTCTGTTTCTCTCAGGTGAGGAGCAGCTAATTCTTGGATGGAAAATCTGTCCCAGTAGTCCTAAAGAGAAAATCACATAAAAAATTAATAAAAGGAAAAAAAATTCACTGTGTGAAGTTTGTGCACTGGTTGAATCTAGTATCACAAATAATTATTGAGGATGTTTGTTAGGCTGAGGAGTAGGTCAGACACTTGGAGTTGAAAAGTAAATTGGAGTCTAGTCTAACATGGGATATATACAACACAAGTAATGTTACAAAATTACACTGAAATTGTAATAGTTCTGATTCAAGATATTGGACTGACAACATGATTTACTCCCCCCTCCCCTCAAAGTTATCATACTTTTTTATACCCACCCCCAAATCCTACCTGTGGAAATCACCAATTTGTTCTTGTTTCTGAGTTTTGTTTTTTTCAGATTTTACATACAGTATTTGTCTTTCACTGACATATTTCACTTTGCATAATGCCCTCAACTTCCATCCATGTTGTTGGAAATGACTGATTTCCTTTTTTATGGCTGAATATTACTCTATTGTGTGGGTATGTATACAACTATGTATATATATCACATTTTTGTTATTCATTCACAATATATACATACATCACAATATATATACATATATGTGTATACCACAATATATGTACTACAGTAATATACCATGTCTCACACATGCACACACACACGCACACACACATATATAACACTATATGTCTCACATTTTTGTTATTTATTCATCTGTTGAGGAACACTTAGGCTATTTCCATTTCTTGGCTATTATAAAATATGCTGCACATGTAACCTAAGGATGCAGATATCTCTTTGAGATAGTGATTTCACTTCCTTTGAATATACCAAGAAGTGGGATTGCTGAAATATATGGCAGTTCTACTTTTATTGTTTTGAGGAACCTCTATGTTGCTTTCCACAGTAGCTGCACCAATTTACATTCCCACTAACAGTCCACAAGAGTTTCTTTTCTCCACATCCTTGCCAACACTTGTTATCTCTTGTCTTCTTGGTGATAGCCATTTTAATAGATACGAGGTGATAGCTCATCGTGGTTTTGATTTGCATTTCCCTGATGATCAGCGATGCTGAGCTCCTTTTCATGTACCTGTTGGACATTTGTATAAATTTTTTGGAAAAATGTCTATTCAGTACCTCTGCCCACTTACAATTGGACTGTTTGGTTTTTTGCTATTAAGTCATATAAGATCTTCATATAATTTGGATATTAACCCATCATCAGATACATGATTTGCAAATATTTTCTATAATTCTATAGATTGTCCTTTCATTTTGTTGATGGCTTTCTTGCTATACAGAAGATTTTTAGTTAGTCTAATGTTCTACTACTTGTTTATTTTGGCCTTGGATGCTTTTTCTTAAGGTGTCAAATCCACAAATTCTTTATGAAGACTGATGTCAAAAAGTTTACCCCCTATGTCTCCTTCTGGGAGTTTTATGGTTTCAGGTTTTACATTCAGACGTAAATGGTCTTTAGTCCATTTTGAGTTGATTATTGTGTATGGTGTAAGATAGGGATCCAGTTTCATTCTCCCACATGGGAATATCCAGTGTTCCCAACATTATATATTGAAGACACTATCCTTCTACCATTGTATATTTGTGACTACTTTATTATAATTAAATTATATATATATGCATGAGTTTATTTCTAGGAACTCTGATCTGTTCCACTGATCTATGTGTCAGTTTTTATGCCAATACCATATTGTTTTGATTACTATAGCTCTGTGATGTAGTTTGAAATCTAATGACTAAAAAGACACAAAAGTAAGAATAATTCAATAAAATTACTAGAATTTGGGGAATTGTTCTAGGGTTGGATCATACACTTTCAAATATTTCTGGAACTTTTAAGTCAGATTGTATTAACTTTATAAACACCAGAATGAAGAAATCTGCAAACCAGTGTAGGTATGTATGTGTGGAGAGTAGACTTATGAGTTAGGAAAAGAAATGGGATACAGCTTGATACAGACCTGAGAATTGTACTTATTAAGAGATTCAAGAAATAACACAAGCTTGGAATCAATAGAACTGATAAATTGAAATTTTAGAAATTGAAAGCAATCCTTTAGTGAACTGATGAGGGAATTGTTCTTGTATTGCCAGGGCAGCTGTGTCAGTACAGTCTTTTCTGCACAATATGTGACAAGAAAGCTAAATCCAAAAAGCCAGTGCTAACATTAAGCTGAATGGCTATGAGTCTAAACATTTAAATATTTTCATAATATTGATAAATGTTTGGCACAGGTGAGCAAGGAAATCAGGGAAGGCACAAATAAACACTGCCAGGGATAAAATAGGGGATACACTATAACCACAGTAGAAAATAAAACAATAAGATATGATATGAATATTTTCTGATAGTAAACTTCAATGACAGCAAACAAACAGATATTTAGGCCAAAAAAAGGTTTAAAATCTTTCAAAAGGAAATTCTAAAAGACATCCTTCAAGCATAATACATATCCCATTTAGATGATCTGAGATTTAAAAAAAAAAAAAAATCTACTTTTTGGCCTATAGGTTAGTCACCACCAAAAATATTCTCCAAAATATAGTGGGGTTTAACCCAGATACAAGTTTCTATCTCAGGTTTAAGTCAGGGTTGGTGGCCCAGAGAGCATTGGGAACACAGGCTCTTCTACAGTGTTGTTCTGCCATCTTCAGTACATGTTTCCATCTTGTGACCCAAGAAGCTCTTCAGATCCCACCATCATACCCACATCCCAAAAATCCACAAATAGTGTAAATGGGATGAGAGAACAAACAGCTACTTTGAATAAAACAAAGTAAACAAAGTACCGCTAGAGCCAACATAGTTGTTTTCTAGTGAAAGGGATACAACATACACCACAGCCTGGGCTTCCTCAGGACAACTCACCAGAGTTCAAGTCCTGCGCTACAACCAACGTGATGAGAACACATAATTGTTCCTACAATAAGAACTCATACAATTCCTCCCTAATTCACCCATGTGTGTGCACCAAACTGAAGACTTCATACTCAGGTCTCTGTACCTGAAAACTATTAGGAGTGAAATTTACCAAGAAAGGAGAAACTGGAACACTAACTCACCCATTCCCCCCTTTTTACCACTATGGAGTCCATTGATAGAGCCCTCTCAACACCAGAGCATCCGACCTCAAAGCAGCAGTGACTTGCTTCCTCCAGAACAGAACAAAATGTGCTGCCTTTTAGGAACACAAAAGAGTTAAGCCAGATTTTAGGGCAACACCCAACAAACAGGATGCAATACACCAATTGTAACAAGCTTCTCATAAGTTTTACCCAGTTCCTGTTACCAAAAAGGTGGGGACGGGGGTCTAACTGACATCATTCCATATCCACATTTCAGAAATAGAAATTCTTTCAAGTGCCAAAACTACATCTACATGTATTAATAAAGCTATGTTTACCAGTATCAGACTCTAGCACATTTTGTAGTTACTAAATAATATTAATATATGGGTGTTTAGCTTTGTTAAATTAAGACTTACAAAACATACATACATTCAATACTGGTCTTATTCCTTCTTTACCCTAATAAAAAATATGAATAAATAAAAAATACTGACCTTTTTAAAAAGAAATGCACTCTACAATATACATTTCTTCCTTGAAAATAGTGTTTGTATCTCATTTTTCTAAGAACCCATTACCATGTCTCCCCACTTAGGTTAATTTAAATATGTGAGTAAGAGTCATACTGTAATAAAAAGGTGTTTTCTGACATATTGGGAGTATCAAATGGTTAGAGACAGACTCTGTTGCTACATGGAAGCTGAGTGACCTAGAGCTCATAGCAATAACATTGAGGGTGTGAAGACACTCTAAAACTAAAACAAAGAAGAGGCTGGGACTTCCCATTCCCTTACTTGATGATGTTCCACAATCATTGGGTGAAGGCAGAAAAAAATGGCATGTCCAAAGATATATCTTTTCTCCACTTCTCAAGTCCCCTTGATAGAGGAATAGAGAAATGTTAGAATCAGAAGCAAAAGAAAAGATAAGAAAATAATTAAAAATCCAGTTATTCAGGGAGTCCAAACAGTCCAAGCCAAGTGCCCAGGGATGTTCTCTGCCATGAGATAGCAGGACTGGAAGGACCCCTCACTGTGCAATGGTCTCTACCCACATAGCTTAGACCAGCCATGGACTCCAGGCAGTACCTTTGACAGGAGCCTCAGAAAATAATAACTGGGACGTGTTCAGATCCATCCTTTTAGGGAGAATACCCTGAGTACTCGCTGGCGGATCTGCTGAGTCTTCACCCCATAGACAAGAGGATTGAGTGCAGGTGGCACGAGGAGGTAGAGTGTGGCCAGAAGAACATGGACATGATGGGGTACATGGTGGCCAAAGCGGTGAGTGAGGAAAGAGAACATTCCAGGAACATAGAAGATCAGGATGACACAAATGTGAGACCCACATGTGCTAAAGGCCTTAAGTCGGGCCTCACCCCCTGGTACTTTCAGCACTGTCTGGAGGATGAAGGCATAGGAAATACCAATGGCCACGACATCTAACCCAACCACAAGCAGGGCCACTGCCAACCCATAAGCTCGGTTCACTGTGGTTTCTGAGCAGGCAAGTTTCACCACAGCCATATGTTCACAATAGGCATGGCCTATGACGGTGGCCTGGCAGAAGATAAGTCTCCGCAACAGGATAGGGAAGGGGAGGAGGAGGAGTAACCCCCGTACCAGCACTGCCATTCCAATGCGCCCTATGATCCCTGGATGCAAGATGGTGGAATGGTGCAGAGGGTGACAAATGGCTACATAGCGATCCAGAGCCATGGCCACAAGCACACCTGACTCCATGGAAGAGAACGCATGGATGAAGAACATTTGGGTCAGGCAGACAGTGTACCCAATCTCATGGGCATGAACCAGGAGCACTGCAAGGGTTTTGGGTGCAGTGGAGGACGCCAGCACCAGGTCAATGCCAGACAGCATGGCCAGAAAGAGGTACATAGGCTGGTGCAAGGATGGGTCAGTCCAGATGATAAAGATGATGGTGACATTGCCCATTACAGCAAAGAGATAAAGGACACTCAGCGGCATTGCTATCCAGTGCTGGCTTTCCTCTAAACCGGGGATGCCCATCAGGAAAAAAGAAGGCTGCAGTAGCCTCCAGCTGGAATTACTAAGGGCCATCGTCAATGGCTTAGAGAAGGAAGAGAGAAAAGAAACAAAAATCATGATTTCTCCATTGCTGGGGGGTTATCACAGTGTCTACCTCTGGCTACCACCTTCATGAGAAGACAGAACCTGAAAGTGAAACACAAAAGAATAAAGTGAGATACAAAGAAGAGAATCCCCTGTTCTTGAGATAATGTCTTTAAGGTGAGACATCCACATGCCTGAATTAAGATAGGTCTACTTTCATTTACAGGTAAGAGTAATCATGCTGCTTAGAGATGTCTAAACTACCATTCATTGACTTCTAATTTGGAATGTCCACTTGAATGGATCCTCTATATCACCTCTTGCCATTGCTGAACACAATAAATCAATCTGTTATTTTTTTTTAAGTATTTTCCCTCAGTTTCCATGACACAGCACTCTACTGTGTTCCTCCTATGTCCTCCATCCCAACACCTTCTCCATCTATCTGTCCACTATATGTTATTGATTCCAGGGCTTCATCTTCTACTCCCTTCCCAGTTCTGTACATTTTCTCTGACTGAGTTCATGATTTACAATATTTTAATCATATATACTTTATTTTCTTCCAAATCTAGGTTTCTAAGTCAAATACCTTTCTGAAATACAAATTCACTTTCCATTTGCTTACTAAATATTTACACCACACATGTAACATATTCAAGACTGAATTAACTCTATTTTCAGAAACCTGAAATGGTCCTTATTCATTCTTATCTCTCATCCCTTTTACCTTTTCACAGTTCCTGCTGACTAAATGTTTAACTCCTTAGTATTCACTCATTCTTCTCAACCTCAGTATCACTGACTAGTGCACACTCGTAACTTTTATCACCTGGAATATTTCCTTAGATCTCTTTGACTTTGATTTCATACCCTTCAAACCAGTCTCCACTCTGTAGTCAGAGGGTTTTTCCTAACATGCAGATGTCATCTTGTCACTTCTGAGGTTAAAATCCTTAGTCCATTTAATCCATGAAATAAAATCACACATTTCAAACTAGTATACAAAGTTTTCAAAGGTTAACTCATATACATTATCTTAAATCAATTATAGTTAGCATTATTATTAACATATATAAGAAAAGATTATTGAATATGAGATCAGTGGCCTCTTTCCTTTTTACTTGTCCACATGGATCTGTTTCTTTATCTCAAATTTCTGCTATATCTATCTCTTACCACAAAGTAATTCAGTGTTTCTGAAACCCCCATATTAGCAAGTAGTAGCAATTAAATAAGTGTTCTGTTTAACTTTCCCAATGTGACTCACTTCTTGGGCATTAAAATTAAAAACTTGATATTGGATGTGTTTGCATATATGTTTGTCTTAAAAGACAGACACAGTCGGGGCGCCTGGGTGGCGCAATCGGTTAAGCGTCCGACTTCAGCCAGGTCACGATCTCGTGGTCCGTGAGTTCGAGCCCTGCGTCGGGCTCTGGGCTGATGGCTCGGAGCCTGGAGCCTGTTTCCGATGCTGTGTCTCCCTCTCTCTCTGCCCCTCCCCCGTTCATGCTCTGTTTCTCTCTGTCCCAAAAATAAATAAAAAACGTTGAAAAAAAAATTTAAAAAAAAAAAAGACAGACACAGTCTAAAAAATAATTATATTTTTCTACCAAAAGGAAAGGTTCACATGTATATGTATATATAAAAAGAGTTATGAAAGACTCAGCTCCTTCAGATTATTCATCTATAGATCACTCTGAGTATCTTTCTTATGAACCAGTGAGGACTACAGTATTGTTCCAAACTTTTGAACATGGCAGCTACAAAATCTGAAATGCCAGATGGGCACTTAACTCTCAGTCTTTGTTTTCCTTTCAGATTCAAGTCCACTTATAAATCCAAATAAGAGTAACTAACATATTTTTATCCAGACCTCCAGAAGAGGTTAATTACAAAAATTCACATTTCAGTGCTTAACATTCTACATTGTAAGAAACTTAAGTCTTTGTCTTAACTACACCCGTTCCACTGCAGGTTTTATCCTACGTCTCATTTTTCACTGGAGGAGTCAGAGAACAGCTGTGCACTTGTGAAAGGCCACCCATCATTTTGATAGGAGCAGTGTCAGCAGAGCAGTGGAGGATAAAGCCAAATACAGTGGGTAAGAGAGAGAAGCAGACCCACAGGTGCCTGAGTACAATCTGCCTTTTTATGTTGTGTGATTTGTCAATCTGGAGGGACAGCCTAGGGCTGTTTTTTAAAAATTAATTGCTGAGGTCAACAAGAGATCCCCCAGTGATCCTTAGAGAAAAATCAGACTGAACTTTATTCCCAAGAACCTAAGTGAAGATATATTTAGCTCTCTAACCAGGAAGCAGAGGACAATTAGCAAAGAAATGAAGTTGTAAATTCCTATTTATTCATCTAAATTCAGTCCAAGCAACCTATAATCCATGAAGCTATACCCAAATTCTGTAAGGCAGCATGGCATATCTCTGTTTCTTTCCTATCAAATCATTTCACTGCTGTGTCATGGCATTAACTCCCTTGCACTGGAAAACCCATCAGTGTGTCAGTCCTTGAGGAGCAGGGACTATGCCTTGCTTAGGGCAGCAGTCCCAGGGCAAGTTCCAGAAGTGCCAGAATCTAACTGGTACTCAGTAATGTTTGCTTAATAAATGTCTCTATGATTACATTACAAATAAATAGATGAATATGTAAAACAACCAGGAATCACAGGAACTTGACAAAACAGACAAAAACTGGAGAGATAGTGGTTATTGGCATACTATCGTGGATATCTGTGAGGGATGAGCTGATTGGGCTTCAATGCTCCTCACCTAAAGTGATATCCTGGGTGCTTCATAGCAGAAGGAACCCAGCTGAATCTCTCTGCCAGAAAGGGGTATAACCAAATCCCAGGTGTGTGTCAGAATTGAGGGACTCCTGTGGTCACATCTGGTCACCTCTGCCACTGTCTCTGTCACTGCAGACAGAGAGGTCTGGCATCCCTCTGCGGGCTGTGGCCTGTCCCTGCTTCCTTAATCTCCTCTGTAGTGGCATGGACTTTATGATAGTGGTAAAAGGGAGATGCAAGGACACAGAGATTATGGGAGATCACAGAAACAGTGGGTTCACAATGATGACTTACTAGGAGAGGGAGAAATAGAAATCAAACCGTCAGTGTCAGAGTTCAGGTGTCAAACCCAAGATGCATAAACAATCAGTAAAATATGTCTGGTACAGGGATGCTGTTCTCCTGATCTCTGGGCTGTTTTTGAGGGTGCATAATTCACAGTCTTGATTCAGGGTTGAGGGAAACTCAGCAACTTGGAGAGAGCTTAGAAAAAGGATAAAATTGCCAGATTCAAAAGTTCCATTATGGTCCTCTCTGCTCAGCTGCAAAAATATCCTGAATCCCCAGTTTAGTCTCCATGATGATTGTCTGCCCTAGCACAGGAGTAACAGTGATAAAGGGGATTTTATATTCAGAAGGGTTATGCAGCAATCTCTGGATACCAAAGAGGAAACCAAACATATCACTCAGGTCAGGAAGATAAAGATTTCCAGGATGACTCCTTCCAGCTCTGGCAAGACTTGGGTAAAGAAGGTAATTAGCTATGTCTATATATATCATATATGATGATCAGAATGTCAAGCTAGGATGCTGAAGTACTCTGTGCATGATCATGAAGATTTAACTATGGCATTGGTAAGTATGGGCAAACTCAAAGGCTACCTTATAGTAATGTATGGTCTGAAGGTAAGAAGCTAAGGGGAATGGGACTAAGAGGGTTAGTTTTAAGAAGTCAGACCTGGGGAGAACAGCTACTCTGAGGCAAAAGGAAATAAACTTAAGAAGCGCCTGGGTAGCTCAGTTAAGCGACTTTGGTTTTGGCTCAGGTCATGGTCTCGTGGTTTGTGAATTCAAGCCTCATGTTGGGCTCTGCACTGACAGTGTGAAGCCTGCTTGGGATGGACTCTCTCTCTCTCCCTCTCTGTCCCTCCTTCACACTCTCTGTCTCAAAATAAATAAATAAACTTTAAGAAAAGGAAATAAACTTAAGAAAACTAAGAGGCATCAATCCAGATGCAGTGAAACACTCAGCCATAGTAGCCAACCAAGAAATAGCTCCTATCACAAGGGCTATGAGAAAGGCAGAAGTCAGCTGTCAGTAGTCTTCCTCAAAACTGTAAGCCCCACATGTGACCTCATATTCCACACCTGAAATCTAAAACACTTAAACACTGAGACATAATCATAGCACTATGGAACACTTTTCCTTCCCCCACACCCCACCACCACATTACTAAGGTCTATATAAAGCTTTTTCTGTTGTGGTTGTTTTGGGGGTTTTTTTGTTTTTTGTTTTGTTTGTTTTGTTTTTGCCTAATACCTCATGTCCAGCTGTCAACAAAACATTACAAGGTATATAAAAGGCAAAATACAATTGAAAAAGATAAACCACAAGACCAGACATGGCAGGGTATTTGGAATTATCAGGCTGGGGATTTTAAACAATTATGAGTAACAGGCCAAGGACTCTAATGGACAAAGTAGACATCATGAAAGAGCAGAGGGGCAATGTAAGCAGAGAAATAGAAATACTAAGATGAAAACAAAAATAAATGCTAGAAATTAAAAACAACAACACTGTAACAGAAAGAATGACTTTGACAGGCTTATTAGTAGATTGGATATGGCAGAGGAAAGAGTCTCTGAGCTTGAGAATAGATCAATAGAATTCTCAAAAACTGAAAAGCAAAAAGAATGAAGACTGAAAAAAAAAAAACAGAAAAGACATCCAATGACTATGGAACAACCACAAAAGGTGTAACATACAAATAATGGTATTCCAAGAAGAAAGAAAGGAATATTTGAAACAATAATGACAGTATTTCCCCCAAATGAATGTCAGACGCCAAACCACATCCAGGAAGCTCAGAAAACACCAAACAGGATAAATACTGCCCCCCCCAAAAAAGGCCTACATCTAGGCATATCATTTTCAAGATACCAAAAATCAAAGATAAAGAAAAAATAATGAAGGAAGCTAGAAGGGGTAAAACACCCTACCTATAGGGAAACAAAGATAAGAATTACACCTGACTTCACCTCAGAAGACATGCAAGAAAGCAAAGAGAGAAGTGAAATATTTAAGCAGGTGAGAGACAGAAAACAACAACCCAGAATTCTCTACCCTGTGAAATTATCCTTCAAAAGTGAAGGAGAAATAAAGGTTTTCTCAGACAAGCAAAAATCTCACTGGGTATGGCATCTTACAAAGAACCACACATCTCTATCCCACAGGTTGTTGCAATGTAACATTGACAATTCCTCACCAAGAGATTCATTCTTATTAAACTCCCTCTTGA